TCACCTATCTTCAAACAACCCCGAGATCAGGTATGGGTCCTCTCTCTCTCTGTTGCTCAATTTCTCTTTTTTCCTTTGTTTTTCTTAATTTTCAAAACCCTAATGAGTGAATGTTTAAAGGGATGGCCTCAAATCATACTCTCCAGACAATGCAAAAAATGAAAACTGATATGTATATATATGTATATTCTTGTTTGTTCTGGTTGTATATACCATATTTGCTTTATATAATTTGCAAATCATACTATCTAGACAATGCAAAGGAATTTTGTGTATCACTGTATGTATGATCTATGTTATCCTTGGATAGCATGATCAATAATTTTGTGTATCACATGTAGTGAAATGTTTTTGTAATTTAAATTTATGACACTTGAGTCACTATGCAATAATTTTATTCTCAGACTCACACAAATTATAATGACAAAAATCATATAATCATGGACGTGTTTGAAGTGATATTAACATAATTAAAAGGGTTGCCTAAAAAGATCCTTTTATTCCTCTTGATCAAGAATTTTCATTTCAGTTACATTAAGGTTTTGTTAATATATTAAAAAAAATTGACAAATAAGCAACATGTCAAAATTGTCAAAATTTAATCATTTTCTTTGGGTTGGGTTTGGGTTAAATTTGATCAACAATCGATTATCTTGTGACTAAGGCCCAATGATACTATGATAACCCTATAGAACGTCCTTTTTCGATGTTAAAAAAAAAAAAAAACAAAACTTTTATGACAAAATGCTAAATTACAACTCGACACTCTTTTGTGCTCCAACGCCTTGTTTGGGCTTGGATATGGTCCATTAAAGATGGCTGGCCCACTTTTTAGGTTTATGGAGCTATACATTTCATGGGCCGGTACTTCTCTCTAGGGGCTAAGCGTAATGTAAACTTTTGAACTTTTTAGGGTTTGTTTGAGATGTAAGTTGTTTTCTTGCTTTTTGATTTTTTGGCTATTTTAGCCTAGGGCTAAAAAAGTCTCGTTTGGGATAGGTTTTTTGAGGGTTGTTACATATACATTTCATGGGCCGGTACTTCTCTCTAGGGGCTAAGCGTAATGTAAACTTTTGAACTTTTTAGGGTTTGTTTGAGATGTAAGTTGTTTTTTTGCTTTTTGATTTTTTGGCTATTTTAGCCTAGGGCTAAAAAAGTCTCGTTTGGGATAGGTTTTTTGATTTTTTTGACTTTCCTGAGAGAAAAAATGAAATGATTACGATTTAGATGTGATGTTTTGTTATATTGAGTTAAAAAGCCTATTTTGTCTTTTTGTGGCTAAAATAGCCAAAAAATAAAAAAGCCTAGCATGTCAAACGAAGGCTTAATGGATTGTAGAGAAGTTCCATTTTGGAATTTTTTCTTTGAATAATCCTTGGTAGCTCGAGAAACTCGTGGCCCGAATTGGCTCGAATACCCAAAACGACGTCGTTTTGGGTATTTTTTCCCCTCTTATATAGCTTAAAATAGAGAGAGAAAAGAGAAAGAGAGAGAAGAGAGAGGAAGAGAGAAGGAGTCTGTGTGTGTATCTCTTGTGTATGTGTGTGTGGATGATGATGGAGGGGGAAGATCCCTTTTTTATATGTGTGTGTATCTCTTGGGAAGATCTCTCATCTCTCTCTCTCTCTCAGTGGGTGGGTTTGATTTTTGTGTTTGATCGGTGAGTGAGTGGGTTTGATTTTTGATTTTGATTGCAGTTTTGTGATGTGTTTCAATTTTGTGGTTGAATCAATTTTGTGTTCAATGTTTTGGTTGAAGGAAAGTGGTTTTGCTTCAACTGAGAGTGGTGGTGCTATGCTAGTTTTTGGGGAAAGAAAGTAGAGGAAGAAGAAGATGAGGTTCTGTTTGTCAATGTTCACAAATGTTTGAGACAGAAAAGAGAGGAAAAGGAAGACAGAAAGAAGAAAAAGAAGAAGAAAAAAAAAATGCAAAAAGACGTCGTTTTGCATTTTCGAGCCATTCGAGCTGTGTAACTTTTGAGCTACGAATCGCTGCTGTTTTTCTTTTTAATAAAAATAAAATTTATGGATACTTTACTCACATGGTCTAAAAAACAAACAATTTGGATCACTAAGGCCTCGTTTGGGAATATGCTTTTTTAGTAATTTTTTTAACTTTTTGGCTAAAATATGATATAAAAAAACTAGTGTGTTTGGAATGACTTTTTGATTTTTTACGAAAAGATGTGCAAAAAGTAGAGAGAAAAAGGAAATATTTGACTTTTTGGTATAGATTGTTAGCTTTTTGGGTTTTTAGTGACTTTTTGACTTTTTAGCTAAAATCACCACTCGCCAAATGAGGCCTAAAGAGGATTTGTGGTGAGCTTTACAAGTTTAACTATGTCATACTAGATTTCAAAAATATGTTTCAAAAATCACAAGTTTAACCGATTATTCAGACTCAAAAGTTAGGCTCACTTTCTAAATTCAGTGATGTGCCAAGAAAATAATTTATTGATGATTAAATATTTTCTAATTTTCAATAAATTATTTGCTTGACATATCATTGAACTTATATATCATATTCATTTTCAAAATAGTTTTTGAAGCAATTTTTGGAATTAGTAATTTGAAAAATGTTTGGGGGCTCTAAACTATGAGCTCTAAAGGAGCTCTAGGAGGTTGGCCCCACCCATTGATATGATGTTTTGGCCTTAGTTTCTTTTTTTTTTTTTTTTTTTTTGTGAATTTCCACCTCATTAGGGCTCAATTAGAGCTTTCAAATTAGAGGGATGAATCATTGTTGTAGTAATTTTTTGGTATTCAAAAAGTTGAGTATCATATGAATAAATTTAAGGATAAATTACGCTACCTCCCCTGAGGTTTACCTTAATTACAGGGACCTCCCCTATAGTTTAAAAAATAACATTACCTTCCCCTGCTTTTGAAAATAATATACAAATTTCTCCTGCTGTTAACTTGACGTTAATAAAGTCACAAAATTAGTGACATCAGCCTCTATAAGCCTACAAATGGCCAAAATACCCTTGGCATCCTTTATAAAACAATACACCTCCTTCCTTACTATTTCCCTCCAATTCCCAGAGCACTTGTTAAGTTTTCCTCCAAAATCTCTATCTTTTTCTACAACGTTGCTTGACATGGATGAAGATTTCATGTGAGCTCTCTCTCTTTCTCTCCCCTAGTTCTGTGTATGTTATTTATAGGTGAACTATGTAAATTTTGTTTTGTTTTGTTTTGTTTATGCATGCACAGGTTCAATGATATGGCATCATCAAACAATGAAAGCAACATACTGAAATATAGAAGCAAAACATGTTTGTGTGGGGAAAAAACAACTATCAAGGTGACATAATCTGAAAGAAACAAAAACAAAAGAACGTTGTACTATGCTTGTGCAGAAAAAAAATGCAAATTTTGGGATTGGTGCAAACCTGTTAACTCAACTGAAAAGCTATTGATACTGTTCAAAGGCCGCTATCTCATGGCAATTTCAAGGATGTGCATACAAGAGTGCAAGTAGTTGAAGATAACCAAGGACATATAAAGCTACTGATAGTCATAAGTTTAGTGATAAGTTTGTTTGCCCTGTTTGTTGCCATTATGAAATAACCTATTTATCATATGTAAAGCTTGTTCTATAGATATGTAATGCAAGGATATCCTAGTATTGTGCTAGTTTTTGTGTAATGAAATATGCAAGTGTAAGTGTAAGACAACATGCTTGTACTACTTTTCCCTTGGAATGAAAGCATGGCAAATCCCAAATCTTGATCCAATTATGAGTGCTTCAGACATATATAAACAAGTTCAAATATCCATGCTTCATAGTTACATTTGATGATTCATAGTTCGTTAAAATTTACATCATGGTTACAAAAGTATGATCAAGATGCCTACAACAAAAAAACAAAAGTGGGTGTATCATCCTATAATTATATATTCTGTACCTGCTCATTGTCACACATGTGTCTTACTACTATGCACCTCATCTATCAGTACATCATAGTTACAAAAATATGATCAAGATGCCCACAACAAAAAAACAAAAGTGGGTGCATCTTCCTATAAGCACTATGCACTATCTATATATTCTGTACCTGTTCATTGTCACACATATGTACCCAAAAAAGCATCACTAAGTGCACCATTTATTTGCAACAAACAACCAACCCCCCCTCAAAAAAAAAAAAAAAAAAAAAAAGGCCCTGTTTCCGCAACATGGGCCTAGACTTGATTATCAACTTAGAGAATGTCCATGGATTCCTGCAATGCTCTTGCCATTTGTCACGACCCCAAACCGCCCCTAGTAGTTTGGTGCCGTGATGGCCAGTAATCCGAGATTACCAAAGGCCAACTAAAAAAAAAAAAAAAAAAAAATAGTTGCAAACCAAAATTTGTTAGTACCATAATAACAATAGAAGGAAAAAAAAAAAAATACAAAGGCAAAGAAAACAAAAGATGGTTATAGATGAAGTGCTTCCTCTGTTTTTGTCTCTCCCAGATGAAGTGCCTTATCTGCCTCTCCCACTTGGAATATCTTGAGTTGTAAGCCAAAATTAGTTGCAAACTAAAAATTAGTTAGTACCATAATAACAATAGTAAAAAGAAACAAAAAAATGCATAGGTAAAGAAAACAAAAGATACTTATAGATGAACTACTTCCTTTGCCTCTGCCTCTCCCAGATGAAGTGCCTCATCTGCCCACCAATCTGCATCTTTTGTCAGATGAAGAACCCATGCATGTGCCAGATGAAATGCTACCTCCTCTGTCCACAGATTTGCCTCATTTGCTCGATGAAGAACCTATGCCTCTACCAGATGAAATGCTGCCTTCTCTGCCACCCCTGACTGGATCTCTTTGACATGTCCTCCTATTGTGCCCAAATTCCTTGCACCAATTGCGTTTCAAAATGAAAGACCTCTTGGCCTAACTTGTGCCTGCGGGAGGCTCATGAGCAGCCTTCTTCCTGGAATTCTTTGGTCTTCCTACCAATCTTTTCAGAGGTGGTGGCTGCAAAGGCTCCTCATTTATTAGTGTCAACATAGTGTGGTCTGATATTGGATGTATAATCCCACCATTGGCCAGCAAATATTTTTCTTTAAGTAATAGGGATGCACAAAGTTTTCCACATTCATTCCATTGTATGAGATAGCAACCATAGCATGTGTGCATGGAATCCCAGAAATCTCCCACTCTCTACAAGAACAACTCATTCTACCTATATGCACAATGTGTCTCACTCCCTCATTGTCCCTAATATCATACTCCTGTTCTCCTACATACTTTACTTTGCACTTTCTGGACTCATAAAAGGTCTTATCAAGTTTCTTCTTAATGTTCAAAGTTATATTGGACTGCCATTGCAATGCTTTTTGATACCTCATTTGAAACTTGCCCATTAACTTACATCTTATGGTCTCTAACATTGTCAAAATTAGTTTACTTCTGGAAATCCCCAACCAATTATTGAATGATTTTGTCATGTTATTTGTGATATGATCATTTCTTATCCTACTATCAAATGCATGCCTAGACCTTGCTTCAACAGGAACTTTTTGCAGCCATTCATATGCTTCCTTTGAGATACCTTGAATGGCTTGCATAGCCTCATCATATGCCCTTTGATTCCACGCCCTTGCTGCCTTCCAAAAGTTCTTCCTCAAGATCATTCCAGGAAATTTATCTCTGAAGTTGTTAAACAAATTCATACAATATCTTCTATGGCTAGCCTCTGGTAGGATTTCAGTCACAATTGTGTCAAGACCCTTTTGTCCATCAAACATGATGGTCCAAGGCCTAGTGGGTAATGCATCACTCGGTATTGTTCTCAAGTGTTGTAGGAAAAATGTCAAACTCGCCTTACATTCACACTCCACTACTCCTACTGCTAGTGGAAACAACCCATTATTCCCATCTAAACCAACTACTGAAATTAGCAATCCATCATAAGGACCCTTCAAGTGACAACCATCTACTCCTATGAAGGGTCTACATCCATTAACAAACCCTATTTGCATTGCCTCAAATGAGATGAAAATACTTCTAAGCACTGGGTTAGAACTGATTATACTCTCTTCATCTGGTGTGGGTTCATCCTCTGAGATTGGCTTGGGTGGGTTATCATAATTGATCTTCACAAAACTACCAGGATTTGTCTTCTTAATCTTTGCAGCATATGTTGGTAGTAGCACATATTGGCTTCCATGATTACCCTCCATCTCATCTCTACATCTTTTTTTAGCTCTATACAATTGCATCTTTGAAGCATCAATCCCAAACATCTTGTGCAACTTGCCTTGCATTGTGTCTAACCTCTTGTTTGGATTTTTTTTAAAACTGTCAGCTAATTTTTTTGTTATCCAATCTGAAGTTGCCTTAGTATTTTAGTTTAACCTACTGCATGTGTGTTGGGGAACTAGGGTTTTTATCTTGTAAGTTATCCCATCTGGCAGAGGAGATGCCTAAATCCTCTAAGGACATCTCTCAGCAGCACAGTGGGCCGTTACCCTAGACTTCTCATTTTTGTCCCTCACAATCTTGTAGCCAGTTTCCACTATATAATCTTTCAATGAAGCTCTAAAGTTGTTTACATCTGCAAAAATAATCCCTTTTTCCAATACCACTTCCCTTTTTGAATTCAAATATGGCTTTTTATCATTATAGGGAGTATGAAATTGTTTTCCCTTGAAATCCCTCCTCTTAGGTCTACAAATAGGTTCATCATCCAAGTCATCATCAATACTAGCATCCTACACCATTACATCATTTCCTGATTGATAATCACTAAGTGTACAATCATCTTCACCTAAGCCATCATCTTGACTTAACACATATTCACTACTTTTGCTATCAAATTCATTTTTAACATCCACATTTTCATTCCAATCTAAGTCTTCATCACTAAACCCAACAAAATCATCCACGTAGTACTCATCATCCCTATCACTATCACCATCACCATCACCATCACCATCATGCACTGATTGATCTATTTCTACAACATCCTCATCCCTAGCATTAACTTCTCCACTCTCACACCCAATCGAATAAACAACATCTACATACAAGTTAATTGTTCTACTCACACTTTGTATGTAAAACATATCTAGTATATCAAGATCATTTTCTAACATTCTTCTCTTATCAGTATTAGGTATATCATAGTACAAATGAATTGCAAGAGCCTCAATCAAACCTATGTTACTAAGAACTGAATCATGTACATCCTTAAACAGATCAACATGACACTACATATCAGAATCCACATTGTATATCCTGCCCACTTTACCCTTGTAATGGATGACTAAATCAAATGAAGGAAATGCAACCATAGCTGAAATGGTAACATATAACAAAACCCATAAACATTTAATTTCAACAGATAAACATTTCATTTCAACAGATAAACAAATTTGAACAAATCAACATTTAATTTGAACAGATAAACAATTTGAACCAATTCAATGAATTTTTAGCAAAACAGATTCACGCAATTCAAAAGCTACCATGATTGAACCAAATAAACAAATTGATAATCATGAATAATGCAAAATATTAAGTAATAATGTTTACTAATCCAAAAAAATTACAATTTTTGTATATATTTTTCACAACATTAAACAGATGATACAACATTGCATTGAACAAAATCTATCTACATTGAACAAAATCGAACAAAAACCCTAAATAAAAAATAATTCAATAAAATCTAACAAACCTTTTTTATACTCCAAATCTAGTAAATAATGATGTTGAATAATCCAAAAAATTATAATATTTGATTATGAACTAGAAAAACCCTAAATACCAAAAAATACAACTCTGAATCCATAAAAATTTGTTCAAAATTACACTAACAAAACTCCCAAAACTCTAAAAAATCCTTCATTCGTAAACCCTAAACCCATGTATTGCATACTTTTTTCTTCCAAAAATTTTGATCTTCAACATATTTGTTAATGAACTTACTTGGAAGTCGTAAATCACAAAGCAAACCGATTAAACTCTTCCGCACTTTGCACTATGAAAGATAATCGAACCAGATTTTCGAAAAAATCCCCAAGCCATCATCTTCTCCTTTATTCCTTCGTTGCTCACTCTTCTCCTCTCTTCGAATTTCTGATCGTGAACCCTAGGCAATGGAATGAATTAGGGGTTTTTTTCATTCTACTATGGGTATTATGGTCATTTCGGCTGTGAACTTAACGTTGTCCATGCTCTTTTAACAGGAAGGGAGAATCTGTATATTATTTTCAAAATCAGGGGAGGGCAGTATTATTTTTTAAACTATAGGGGAGGTTCCTGTAATTAAGGTAAACCTTAGAGGAGGTCAGTGTAATTTACCCTAAATTTAAATATGCAAAAACTAATCATACAAAATATACAAGAATAAAAAGTAATTTTTAAATTTGAATTCCATTAATAAATTTTATAAAACTTATCTATTCGTGTGTATTTCTGCACATGTCAGATTCTATGGCCCCGTTTGGTGTAACTGTTAAAACAGATTATAGATTATGGCTTAACCGATTATAGATTATGAATTTAATCAGAAGCTGTTAATCTGTTTGGTGTAGCTGTTAGATTATAGATTTAAGTTACTGAGTAGTGTTTGTTAAATAAGCTGTGAAGTAGTTTTTTCGATTAATTTTTATTTTTTGTTATTCACTGCTTGTCTACATTTCTCATTAAAAAAAAAAAAATCTATAGTCTATTTGGGTGCTTTTTTATTTTTTAAAAAATAAAAATAAAAATAAAAATAAAAATAAAAAATCTAAGAATATAACTGCAAATTAACATGTTTACAGAAGAAGTTGATAATTAGAAGTAAGAGGTGAGCAGCTTCTCAGAATCCGTTTTTTTGAGTTAAAATAAGTTGTTAGAATCAGAAATTATTTGAAATAAATTTAACCAAACAATCTAAAATAATTTTTCTAAAATTAAAAGTTATAAATTGACTCAAAAAACCCTAAACAAACACCCTCTATATCAGTAGGAGTTGCCAAAGTCAAGCAACTTCCTTAGTTTAATTCGAGTGATTTGAATGCGGCAATCTTAAAGTCTAGCAATTTAAAGTCTAAGGGCGTGCATGATCTAAATTGATTTGATTGAGGTAAAATTAAAATCAATTCATTATCTATAGTTTTTGAAAAATTAGAACTAATCTAATTCATTTAAAACCTGAAACCAACTCAAACCAATCTATTTAAATACAGATTAGATCGGTTTAGGATTACGGATTCACATAATTACATAACAAAAAAAAAAAAAATATAGAACATTTTAATTTCATAAAAAAATAAACATAGTATTATATTAGTTTCATAATAGTAACATGTATTTCCATAATAGCGACAAACTAGTCTAGAATTTAAACAACCACAAGAAAACTGGTTTCACCATAAATATTTAAATCATTATAAATTAAAACTAAAAACTAACAAACAAAAGTAATAAAAGAAGATATTATACAGGATTAGATTTGAGTTTAAGTTTTATATGGAATAAGAGAAGATACTATATTGAGAGGGTATATAATATAAATATAAGTTATTTGTATACGGTCCGAATCGATTCCAATCTGAAACTGTGAGGTTCAATCTGGAATCGATCGATAGATTACGAATTTTTAATTTTTCAATCCAAAACCGAATCATGAATTCAAAAAATCAATTCAAACCTACCGAATTAAATTAGACCAGATCGAATTACGAATTATACGAATTCCTCCCACAACCTATTAAAGTCCAGAATTGGCTGCAACATTTGTCCTAAGCTGGAAAATCAAGAATATGGACACAGATATATATGTACCTTGTTGATCATTCCAAACTTGGTCACGTCTTTAGCAGTAAAGAATAATAGTAATGCTATTTTCGCCTTTCCTCTCAAAAAAGAAAGGAAAGAAAGCAAAGCCGTATTGGAGAGGATATATATGTTTTGGGTCTCGCTTTCATCGAGTTTTAGACGGATTTAGATGGTGTTATTAGGTCTATGAAGGTCTATTAAGGGTCCTCGTTTCGATAATTTGAATTATTTAATGTGTAAAATTCGTTGACTATTATATGTCTGTAAAAAATCATATTGATCAAATATCGATAGTTATCTCATTGAATTAGTTTTCTTTCAACTATTTATTTTTTCACCTTTTATTTTTTTATTATACAAAACTGATTTGATCACGTAGCTATTGATATCTGATCAACGTGATTTTTTACAAATATATAGTACTCGATGAGTTTTACACATCAAACGGTTGAGATTATCGAAACAGGACCCGTAGTAGGTCTCATGGGTCCAACAACACCCTCTAATTTAATATGAGATGGGGAGGATGCCAGTGCCATATATATATATATATATTTTATTATTTATTAACATTGCTGTCATTTTACAGATAGGAAGGAAACCACAATTAAGTGAGTGACAAGTTAATTGATTTGAAAAAAAAACAAAAAAAACCAATAAAGTAAGCGAGGCAATCAATTTTAATCCTTTAGAATAATTTTACTTCTCAATTTGGATAATTAAAATAATTTCAAATATTTAAATATTTAAATTAGTAAGTCACATTTGATCAAATAATATGACTAAATTATAGTAGAAGTTGACGAGGGGTCGAATCCTTTCCCGTTTGTCCTGTTCATAGGCTTGGCGACGGCCTCTCCCCTATGTTTTCTTAGCTCATAAACTTAGCAATGACCCTCGAATTTCCATTTCGGACAGATCCAAAAAAAGACAAGTTCTTCGTTAAAAAAAATAAATAAATAACAAAGGTGAAAACTGTTGGACAATCTTCACTGTATTTAATAAATAAACTCTGTTTGTGTACTAAATAACAAACAGAATACAAAAGAAAAATAAGAAAGAAGAGAATTTGTTTGATTACAAAAATCAAACCAGAAAAAATAAAATAAAATAAATAAAAATAAATTTTTATTTTGTTACAAAAACAAAATCAAAATCTGATTTAAATAAATAAATAAACAACTTACTTGATTAATTTCTTGAATAATATTTTGATCAAGTCCAGTGTTTGACACTGTATCCTTAAGACAGATTCGTCCTCTCCATGGTACTTTCAGAATATGAACGTTTACCTCTCAGGATAAAATGATCAATCAATGAATAAATGCAGCACTACAATTTTATGCATACAACGAACACACTAAGTGTTTATACTATTCCTCACAGAAATTTAGATGCAGCAAAATGCAGAGAGCAGTAGCAAATTTAAGGACGAAAATTCAGTGCCATAAACAAATGAGAGACTTGTCTATATATAGGAGAATATATGGCTGTT